GGTATCGTTAAAAGCAAAATTGCTGGAGGAACTTTACAAAGAGCAACAATGAAAAGAGCCAAAATAAGAAGCAATCAACATTGACAACAGCTGCACATTAAACCAAATTGCACAGTCTTGAACAAGCTACATCTCACCAACAAACTGCTAACACACGCACACACACACAGCACATGCTTACTGTATTTAGAGTTCGGCTCTGTGGATCTCCAGCCAAGTCGGATCCGGTGTCTCAGATAAAAGCACATAAGAAGCAGCAGCAGCTCTGAACCAAAACAACGCCGACATTAGTTTAATCTCTCCAAGCAGCGCAGCTGAATTAATTCCATTTCCTGCAGCATGAGAACAGCAGATTTTTAGGTTGTTTACCTCTCTCACTCTCTTCATCTCATCATACTCTTTGTCGTCAAGCTTGCTCTCAGTGGTTTGGTAAAGGAGTTTCATGAAAATGGACAGAAAACTGCTTCCTTTGACTGCCTCCCTTTTTCTGAATGAATCACACGCACTACACGGAAACAGAAAGCCTTGCAGGCTCCCCCCTTCCCTTCTGTTTTTATGCGCACAGTGCTTTCACTGCTCCCTTCTCCTCCAACCCTCCCTTCTTGCAAAGGGTGGGGGGGGAGGAGAGAAAAATGTACCTACATACTTTTTTTGTTGCAAAAAAGAATGCAAGCCTACATACAAGTGGCATGAAAAAGATGCAGTCGATGACCAACTAGTCAACACTCATCCATCTCCATTTCATGGGAATGTATGAGGTCGGTATATGTGCCTTGTATCTGAAAAAAAAACTGAATGGGCTCAAAGTACTGACAGCTGCTGGTGAAGTGGATCACTGCTGCAATGTCCCCCAAAAAAAAGCGATTTTTGAAGGATGCAGGGGTAAAATAATGAAAACCACCATATTAGCTCGGAGAGAACCGTATTCCCACAGGACAAAATATTTGCATATTCTCCATGCAGCCCCCTCACTGCACACTGCAGCTCGAGACGCAGAGGAAGAGAGCAGTCTAAAGTTGAGCATTGAATAAAATATCAAAAGGAAACTCTGGGTAGCGTAAGGTAAGTGATCCGTGGACCCCTCCCCAAACCTGGTTTGCACACATGCGAACTGCCGATCGTCATCGACCGATATCTACTATCAATGACTAAACAGTTCCATTGGTCGAACCGGTTTGCCTGACATTAATCAGGGGGTGTGTCGCTGGGTGAAACTGTACCCTGTTTGCATCAACTTAAAACGAAATGAAGCTACCTATTGATTGTTTTCTTGTGGGGAGAAATGCTGCGGTGCCCCATTACACCTTTACGGCCCCGAGAGGCAGAGCCCAGAACTCGTAGGTGGAGGCAACTGCTTTACTACAGGTCCACCTTGTCCCAGGTAAGATTCCCAATCCTGATAAGGGTGCCGGTTTCATTTGCTGAAGTGGGGGTGCGTGTGACACTGTAGGCTACATTTAACCCCATAGAACATCTTTACTGTGAATTTGTGAATTTCTACTCAGCTCAGATGATCGCCGAAGAGCTCATCTGTTCTGAGCACATCGATCGCTGTCACTCGATCACACACGCTACGCAGACATCGTGCTGCTCTTACATCAACAATATATGGTTTGTACTTAAATATGTCACTTGTCAGTTCCCCACGGTTATTTATCTGCACCTTTTATCCTGTTTACAATAATTTACAAAATTGGGAAACTAACAACGTGTAGGGGAACTGAAAAAAGTCAAAATGTGTTCAAATCTCATACATCTTTTTTTGTTTTACTTTTAGCAGTCTACATAGTCACGCTGCCCTTATGAGGTACATTCTGTTGCATGCGGAATGCATTCAACTGGGTAATTCTAATAACAATCCACCTGGAACTTTGACCCTCTTGCTTATGTCACTGTACAGATGATTGCGGGTCAGAATAGGCGGAAAAACATACTGGCTTGGAATTTGCTTGGAATTTATACATCTGGCACATGAAATATCATGAAGCCTGGCACTGGAAAAGGTTTGTCTCAGATTGATGGTATGCATGAATACCACCAACTGCCTCAAAACAAGTCTAGCAGCCTCTCCTGAATTTGGGTCGTCTGGTAGCTTCTTCCAGGGGACAGTGAAAGAAGACAGCAAAGAGCTTAAAAAGCAGAAAAGAGGGGAGGAGACAAGCATGGATCAGTTACCAAAGACACCATAGATAAACCTTTTGTTAACACAATTATACGTGGTTGCAGTCTCTAGCAAGCAACTGTGGCAGTTTCTATCATGCATCTGAGGTAAAGTAAGAAGGAAACGCTAGGAAAAGGGTTATTATTTACGAGGGCTGTTAAGATTAACGCGTTAATCTACGCGATTATTGATCAATGCGATAAAACATGTTAACACAACTTCCGGTGTGCATTGACCCCGAACACGAAACCGCCGTCTGCAGCAGTCAGTCAGACCGGAGACACGGAGGAGGTAGCTGAAGATGGAGAGCTTTTTGCATTGGCAGTAAAACAAACAGAGGATACATACAGCGGAGAGCTGTGCAGAGGAATTCCTCCACGTGTCACACAAAAGGAGGGGGGGGGGGGGGGGGGTGAGGATCAGTGGCAAACGGACCACTTTAGGAGTGATCGTGCCTGGAACATGGTGGTAGCTGCTAGGCTACTTCCATCTCATCTGCCCTGCGCGACACACAATCTGCAGAGGACCACCACTAAAGTGTCCCTAAAGGACAGGGGTGTGGAAAACATCCTGGCTAAATGTCAGGAGATTGTTGGGTTCTTCAAACACAGCCGTCAAATGATGGAGAGTTGAGAGCAAACTGCACGAGGACAGCAGGAAGAGCCGCTAGTTCAACATGTTCCACCCACAGGAATTCTGCCTCGAAGATAATCAAATGTGTGTAGTTTTGTGTGATTAAGTTTTCATTCATAAGATTTAGTCTTTTGAAGAAAAACAAACTTTTAATCGAGATTAATGAATTTCAAAATGTGTAGATTAATCAACAACACCAAAAATGTGTCCATCCCTGCTTGGATTCTGATCCATTGAATTAATATCAACATTGTATGTATTTTCTGTTTTCTTTCCGTCTGATCTATCAAAACGCTTCCCTGCTTCGCAGCCATTACATTGAAGTCAATCAGTCCAGGCTTACGGCCATGCAACCAGTTCCCTCCTTCTGCCCTAATCAATATTTTACATCAGAGCAAGCAAGGGAAGGAAACATAGCCAAAAAGAGGATTGACTAACAATGACTAGGGAAGACATCAAAAAAAAAAAGCCCAGAAAACAAAGACAACGGGAAAAGAAGAGGGAATAAATAAAGATAGAGCGAGACAGAAGCAAGAGCGGTTGAGAGAAGAGACACAGGAGCAGCAGCAACAGCAGCAGCAGCAGCACCACGCTTGGTGCTCTGGCAGAGATCTATAAATAGCTCTTCAAATCTCTCTAGAAAAAGCCTGCTTCTGCTTATGCTGCTGCTGCAAAAAAGATTCAAAAGGGCGACAGAAGAAGATATGGATATCTTCTCGTCAAATCCTAACCAGGATCACGTGCTATCAATTATTAACTGCCTTTCAATCACACCCCATAAATGACCGTATTAAAAAAAACACTGTTTCATCGATCATCTTGTCTTACATAAATATTTGAATGTAGGAAGTGAAGTTTAATTCAAAACATAAACTTTCATATTGGACAGTTGTATGAAAAAAAGAATGCTTCACTAATCCATCTTCAAGAACTGTGCGCAAAAAAACAAACAAAAAAAAAGAAAGGCCAGCATATGAAATCCCTTCATCAATACGAACACTTCTCCAGCAAAAAACAACATTTCCTATGGTTTTGTATTAGGATTTCCAAGTTGCAGGGAAGGAGAAACCTGTTGACAGGGGAGGCAGGATGCAACATCTTTCTCATTGCTGGCCTTAGCAACAGCAGACTGTTGATTCAATGACTCACCTCCATTGGATCTGACTCTGGATACACTTTATCTCAATAATACCAGCATTACCTATGACCAGGAGGGGTACTTTCTTAACCATGGCTTTTAATCTATCATAGACTCGTCTACAACAGAAGATGCAACGAGACAGTTCCAAAAACGATCACCAAACCAATAGACTATTTTTTACAATCTTTGCCTGCCTCTTGATGCAATTATCTGCATCGCGTGCCAAAAGTAATGCATATTTATGTTTTCAGTCACACGTGCCGTTTTCCCAGAGCAGATGTGCGAATCACAGCTCCAACAGTCTATGCAGCAATCCCACTTAGTTTAACACAACAATCTTGCCATCTATTTTCAGCTGGAGTATCAAAATGCTGCATTAAAGTCATAGGGATCAATTGTCGTGGTTTTCTCAACAAACCCTTTTTTACTTTTTTGAAACGCCGTGAGCTGTGTTTATATTATGGGCTGGAAAACCAAATGAGTGGGAAATGCTCTTTTCTATTGAATGTCATTAGGCATTGTGCGACATTTATATTACATTATGTTTGCAAGATGACAAAGTTTAGAAAACAGTAACACAAAGTGTGAACTTCAATGGCGTAGTGTCTTATAGATGATTTCCTCATCAGCACGGTTCAACTCAATATACCACCGAAATCATTTTTCAGTGATTATCATAAATATAAACTAAAGATTTCTTATTTCCAATCATTTTGTCATTGCATCTGCACCGTGTTTGCTCTCGTTTCTGACCGTCGTTGGAGACCAAATACACGCACGCCACGGTGCAACGGCCAAAATAACACCTTGTTGTCACCAGCCAAACGGGGCTTTAAAGCGTGATTAAAAACCCTTAATTCCAATCAAACCAGCTAATCACTTCAATCCCAGTCCCCTCGGTCCGTCTCCCGGGGATAAACGCTAACATGGCCATCTCGTGTCAGGCATGGAGAACACGGGACTTCAACCGTCGCGTTTAGACGCCCAACGTTAACTGGGGGTAAAACGTGGATCATCGACGAATGCTCCGAAGCGATCTCACGTCACCCGAAAGCTTCGGCTCACCGTTTTGCTGGCCGTGCGTTGCGAGTCCGTGTGGAGGATCCTTCGGGTTGTGCCTGTAGAGAGCAGACGGCAGTGCGGTCAGAGCCGTGGACGTGCAGTTGACTGAAAATATTAGCTTGCCCCGCACGCTAACAATAGCTAGCTCGCGGCGTTAGCTCGCTTCCTTCTGCGAGTATAATTAGCCACCTACAACACCTAGCCACCTAGCTAGCGCTAGCTAGCCTTTTCTTTGCAGCGTACGCAAGCAGCCCCATGTTAACGAAACATGGCGTTTATGTTACGACAAAGTTAACCGAGAGAGTACCATGTGTTTACGGGCAATGCCAACCTTTTTGTAAACCTCTACTTGTACTGTCAAGCCTCAAAATATGTTGCCCTGGCCGGTACGGTTAGCTAGCTTCCCGAATGACTTACCAATGCTGAGATAATGGAGCTGCTAGCTCGAGTCGGCTCACCGCGACCCCGACTGTCAAAATAGCGCCGCGTGAGGGGGGAGCGGCGTGGACGGTACCGATGGATAGAAAGCACCGAGGAGCGAGGCGGTCGGATTGTTCACAGGGACTCGGCCAAAAAAAGAACAAAACGCCAAAGAATAAAAGGACACAACTTAAAGAAAGAAAGAAAGAAAGAAACAAAACGCGATTCCCCCTACTCGGCTGCGGCTTGTGTGTGTCAGCGTCACTTTTTTTTTTCTCCTCATCGACAGTTTACGTCAGCGGCGTGCTGATCACTCGCAGGGAGACGCTCGGGATACAGTGCGCCTGTTTAAACCTATTATTTAAGACTCAGAAAATATAGAAACTGTTCCAAATGTCTTTTTTTGTTCAACTGTTGTATCACACGTATGTTATTCTTATTGAGGGGCATTTTCTCTCTTTCATTAATATGCAATGGAGGTTTTTTAGCATTGTGGACTAAAAAAGCGAAAGCCCATTTTGCTAAATATATTTATATATAATATTTCCCACATACCAGGTCAAATGGAGAATAAATACTGTCACAATAGCATTACTAGTTTAACATTAGATGTTTCTTGTTTGTTATTCTTATTATATTTAGGTCAATTAAGTGACATTTTTCATTAACGTAGCTTTAATATGTGAGCCTACAATAATACTTTACACATTTTAGAAGGAATCAATGCGACGTTTAAGGTTATTGTAGTTCCCAAAGTTCCCCACATGTGGGCAGGCAAGTACTTGAACCACACTAAGACCCCAAGCAAAATGTAATGGACTATGCGTGAACACACACTCAATATTTTTGTTGTGTTCTCGAACCCGAATCCTCACACGTGCAATCACATTGCAACAGGGCACGTGATGTATATTATTATTTGTAGGAACACATGATAGACGCGTGTCACATATATACAGTGCAACTATGCAGTCGTATTTCAGCTCAAACATCAAAATCGTAGCCTATACACTTTTCATAAACTGTTCTATGTTGAATTCGTCATTGTGCACAAAATAGCCCAAACAATCACAAATTGCACGGGCAATTAATTGAATTGAGAGAGTATTTAGACGCGCACGCACGCACTTACAGCGAATGATTCTGCCACCTGGAGGTGAACATGATGCGTTATAAATACCCCGCCTCGTAGCCTTGAGCACTTTGCACGTTTTGAACTAGACTTTTTTTTTTTTGGTGGCACTGTGGCTCGCTTACTCTGTAACTGGGTAAAAGGGCACTGGATTTAAACTTTGATCGTCTGTATTGGAAAGTTGCGCGTGCAGCTCAGAGGGCAACGAGACACAGAAACCACCTGTTGAGATGACGACATCGTAATCGCCTCTCATACAATTGGGTTTTTTTCTCTTTTGTGTGTTTTGTGAGTGCGTGTATCGTGTTGTGTGTGAGAGTAATACACGTTAATGATGCCTTTGCCAGTAATGTACTCGGCGTCTTGATGCTCTCATTGGTGCGTCCCTCCAACGTGTCACCCGTTTTGGTGGATTATCCCAGATATCTGCACCGCCGAAGGGGTGAAACACCATTCCTGTCGCTCGACTCCTGCCTTCACGGTGTCCAGCTGCCCACAAACAGGGACCTCGGAAGAACATTGGAGAAACTTGTGACTTCCAAAGAACACTCTGGAAAGACGATTTGAAGATTTTTAGTTGTGTTTTTACGCACGTCCAGCACAGAGATGCGTGTATTTATTTCAGAGTCGAGGAGGACGCACTCTTTTTTCTTCCCGGCGTTTCTGTTTCTGGCACCCTTGCTGTTGAGGGGTCTCCGGGTCAGTGGTTCCCCGGGCTGCGCGTCCTGTGGCTTGCCGGCGATGGAGAAAGCCGCCGAAGAAAGACTGATGATAGAACTCGTCAAGCAGCAACTTTTGGAAAGGTTGCACCTTAAAGAAAGACCGAACATCACTCAGACAATCCCCCGAGCTGCGCTCCTCACTGCGCTGCGCCAACTGCACTCGGGGCGCGTCGGGAACGATGGCACACTTGAACTAGAAAACACTATGCCCGCCAAAGACCAAGGCTATGAAATAGTGAGCTTTGCAGATCTAAGTAAGTTTGGTATTCACGTTTTTATCTGTTTGAGCTGTTCTGCTCTGAAACACCACATGGTGCCTTTTAAGCGCACGTCTGTGCGTAAAATAAGTTATTCTGTCATAAACTTTTCGATTTACTCATTAATATAATAATGCAGCACGGCTTGTCGTGGGTTGTAGGGTAATCCATAACATAATGACATCATAACATGATTGAAATGAGTGAAAGTATTGATTTGTCCTTTATTTTTTACATGAATGTGAAGCTTGATCACACATTTCCAAATTATTAACATTCTTTGTTATTCTTAACTTGCCATTGATCCATAGATGAGACAGGGAGTGGTGACGCAGCGAGCCTTAGTCTTACCTTCCAGTTTCTGCAGGAACACGGCCAAAGTATCCAAGTACTCAAGTCTTCTCTGTGGATCTACGTCCGCTCCTCTGAAGACCGCCATCGAGACTCCCGTCTCGCTGCCCGCGTTTTTCTGTCTGCAGAAAGTGGGATGTCCATCTCCAACCGTACCCTGGTAACGGAGAAGATGCTGGATGTCCGGGAGAGTAACTGGCACGCTTTCCCCATCACCCACAACTTGCAGGCCTTTCTGGACGGAGGCCAGCAACGACTTCGTCTGGAAGTCAGCTGCGACGAGGGCGGGAAGAACCTTTGCTCCCCTCACGGCTCCGCCGACACCGCCAAGCAGCCGTTCCTGACGGCCCAAGTGCGTCTCCGCGACGATCACTCCAAACACTCGCTCAGGAAGCGCTCGTTGCGTTGCGGCGACGTCGTCAGCGTGTGCTGCAAGAAAGAGTTCTTCATCAAGTTCAAGGATATCCAGTGGCACGACTGGATCATTGCACCTGAAGGCTACCACATGAACTACTGCATGGGTCAGTGCCCCCAGCATCTGGCCGGCTCCCCGGGCATGGCGTCCTCATTCCACACCACCGTCTTCAGCCAGCTGAAAGTCAACGGCATCGTCACGGACGCATCTTCGTGTTGCGTTCCCACAGAGCGCCGGCCACTCTCCATGGTGTACTTGTCCACCCCTCGCAGCATTGTCCAAAAGGACGTCGCTGATATGATAGTGGAGTCCTGCGGATGTACATAAAGAGTAGAAGGAAAGAAACATAAAATAGACAGAGGGGATGACAGTGTTAGTAATTGTGTACTTCTAGTTGGGGACAACCGACTCTATGCATGTTGTTACTTGTTCTTAAAAAAAAAAAAAACAGGTTTGTTTTGTCCCAGATTAGGCACACGAGTGTGTTGAAATAGAGGCATCATTAAGCAGTTTACATGCACAAAAACATTGACTTTAAGGTCACAGGCATAGTTTCAAAATGGACATTATATTAGGGAAACAGCAAGCCCAAAGACTAATGCTTTTTTTAAAATATATTTTATGTCAACGTGTTTTTTCTATTTAACTTCAAAGTCTAAAAGGCAGTGTGTAAACTAGTTGGTGAGATAATGTTGAGCGAGTTCCACGAACCAACTAAGTGAATTTAAATGAGAGTAAACTAAATCTGAATGCAGCCACATTTTAATACAATTCATTAAAGAGAGGTTTAAAACTAAGAAACCGTATGGCTGTATAAAAAACTGACAATGAAAGAGTCCTGCTTTTTTCTTTGACAGAATTTTTTTTTTTCCATGATTGCAGCCAAGAAACAGTTATTTCAAACCCTTAGTTACAGTATTTCGTCTTACAATGGGCACACGTTTCGTGACAAATTATTCCATTTTGAAGCAAGGCTTTGAAAGAGATCCTTGATTTAAATTGCGCTACTTAGACATTGAGCATAAAGTCATTGTGGTATGAATAATCCATTGAGTCTTTGTATTACCGTCTATGACACAATGTTCATATGAACTTGTTTCATTTTCTATCTTCACATTACAGCCAACAAACACTTGCAACGTTGTGGTGAAGCAGTTTTCATGATTGAACTGAAGAGGTACAATCTGCCCTGGGTTCTGTCTGGGCACAGCCGATGCTGATTAGTTTGGAATATGTTTGATCAGCATCCTCACTGTATTATTTACACAAGTCGGCCAAGTCGGTTGGGTAACTGACAGCATATGAAGCCAAGGTCGTTTCTTAGCAGCCTAAGCAAACATTTAGCTATTGCCTCAGTGTCAGGTTTTGTGAAGGTCTTGGAGGCATGTGGGTCAACGAGCACGTTGCACGTTGCGTTTATCCCTCTCAAAGTCTAAACCTTTCTGGAATGATGCAAAATTTGAGGCTTCCTGAAAGTGATGTGGAAATAAGGGATTTCAAAAAACATCTTCTTGGAAATGATCTTTTAAAAAATGGATAACGCTGCTATGTCGGCATCTCAAAAGCAAATTCAACCATCTCCGCACATGCTGATGGAAGGGAGTAATATTTTGGAATAATTTATTGTTTACCAACGATAAACGTTACACTGCTAGTAGCAAATATGTCTGTAGAACAGATTGGAGAGCCAGGCCTCATTATCATCTAAGTTTACACCAAACTGTGTAAAAGCCAAAGATATTCTCTTTTTTTCTGATTGAGGTTTCAGGATTTGTCCCACTGATTTGCAGAACTGTATTGTACTGCTCTATTATTCAAAGGAGATTCCCAGGCAATAAGACAACACGGCATTTCCATCCAAATAGCCCACAAACAGGTTTTAACCTCTGTCTGCTGCCTCAACAAGCTGCACTCATTTTATTTTCTCTAACCTTTGTAAAACAAGTCTATTTTGTATTATTTTATTTTGCAAGTTCCCCGCGTCCCAGGACGTAATGTGACATTGAGGCACCACCATAACATAACTTATTAAGCACTTTATCGCCCTACTGTATTTTTAGAGCAAATTCTGCTTGGAGGGTCTACTACCTTTAACCCAGGTGGGCAGCATCTACATGTAGATGTTGTAGGCCAACAGGAAGCAAATGTCAATCATGTTATTGTCTTATACTCTAGTTTGTTGAACTAGAATGAATATGAATTGGGTTGTATGTGTTTGCAGAGCACACATTTCTGTATACTGTAACTGGTGTAAATAGAGCCAGGATGTGATTACTTTTGTCAATTTAAAGTTGAAAATATTAATATTTTTTTACATCATGCTATATTTACTGCATAATTAAGGACTTGAAATCGAAACTGCGTGCAAAATATCACAATGTGCTGAAATAACGTGATTATAGTAAAAATATATTTTTAATAAATGCATATTTTAAATATACCTTGTTATATCCATCTATATTTTGTATTGTATCTCTTCTCTTTAAACACAATGAGAACATTGGCTTTAAAAAATTGATGAAAAAATGTACACACCTTGAAATTTGTTGTTTGTGGCTATCAGATATATTGGCTGGAGATGATCATCTCAACGCTTTTAACGTTGTATTGTTTTTTACATTTGACTACAAAGTGAATAAAGGATAAAACACGGTTGAAAGTGAACAGTATTTTTTTCAAGCAGGTCTCCTATTTTAGCTTTGCAATCACATTGGCACTGTCTGAAAGGCAAAGGGCCTGTTTGCTCATGCAAACAGTGGAAGTGGCTTTATGGACCGTCTTTGTTGGGTGTGTAAACAATTGTCACATTTCTTTGGCATCCTGTCAATTTTTCCTCACGCATTTGAATTTGGGATTAGTTATAATGTCAAGCTGAGACAATAGTTTGGACTTTAATAACCAATTAATAAAGAAACAGTAAAATAGGTCTGATTGGAACCAGCATATTAAGTGCAAGGAACGAGTGTCGTGCTATTTTGTTGTGTCACACACATTATATGGTGAACCATGGTTGCACACTGACCTAAACCGATTTATTTATGTGCTAAAGTGAATGAATTAGAAATACAAGACAAATGAATTGAATATGTATAAACCCTGTGTTTTTAAAAACACCAAATATCAAATGTCCAAAAGGCTGGCTGACCCTTTAGAAACATTGCGTCAGGAAAGGTCCTCCTGCCCCTTCTCAAGCCACCAGCGGAGGTGATGTTTCATCACCCAAAGTGGACTGTAGTCAGATCAATTAAGTTGCTCACGTTCCAAATTTTTATTTGTACACACGTGTTCCTGCTAAAGTCACTGCTGATACATCCATTATTCCACCAAGTGAAAGGACAGATACAAGCCAGATGGACTTTTAGGCTAGTTTAAATTGTAGTGGCTCATATAAAAATTACTCCTACATCCTCACCCACTGGCCTAGAGACGCAACTATAGGTTTTGAGTAATGCTGTATGCTCCACATCCTAATTCATTTTGTGTATCTGACTTCCTAAAAGAAGTGATTTATCGTTTAGGAGCTGTGTGATATGTTTACCTGTGAGTAAAAATATTATTTGAGGAGACAGTGGATGTATTTTGTGTTATCCGGTATTTACTTTGTTTTCTATAAGTAGGATCCTGATAAAAGGATGTCCCATTTACATGTTGTTGCACTAATGAAGTAACCCAACCCAAGTTATTTTTAATTATCATTCTTAGTTATGGTATGCATTGCAATATGTTGATTTATGTTTGCCCTCAGTTCATTTACGCTATATCTCTCTGCACTCATTCATTGCTGATAGAAAATGTACACAACGGAGGCCTCCTGATTCGATGCATACGAGGTAATGTGCACTACCTTCTGGGAAGACGGTTAACTGCTCCAGCATCAGCATTAACACATCCACGTTTCTGTAATGGAATAAGAGCCGTACTGAGAAGAAATTAATGGTAATTTAGTTTGGGTTCTATTTGAAGACAGAACAGCAAGAAGCTAACAGTGCCAACAGAGCTAACAGTGTTTACCTGAGGAGGAACAGAGGGAGGGGTGTGTGTGGGAGAGGGCGGGGGGGCGTCACGCTTCAGTGTCTACTCTCTCATCAGCTGTATACACGCACAGTGCAGAGCGGCAATTAGCGAGCCAGGGGGGGCGGACGTGCACTGGGACTCACGTGCGGTAACATGCAGGTACGGCCGACCCGGCTACCAAAAGACAGAGAAGAAGAAGAAGACACTGTGACTTTGACCTCTGCTCAGGACACCGATATTCCACTATATCCTCACATAGCAAAATGTGCTGGTTAAATGAATGTGCTGAATGCTGTATGTAACTACCAATTATTACTTTAAAATACAAAACAGACAGACAGACACCTTTGCAGAAAGGGTGTCCCATGTACTTTGCTCACAGTTTGATGTAGTGCTGTTTTAATCATAGCTACTTTCTAACAAATACATTTGTGGGCGCTAACGGGAGAAGCAAAAAGTAGTCAAAACTCTGTATATGAATATTGCTGTTCACCTCCAGTGCATATGGGTAATGGAAGATGTTTCAGCTGGTGGGATCCCTCTCTTTTTTGTTGCTAGGAAGAAGTGACGCTTTGACCAACATCTGCCCGTAAACATCCAAATCTCTTCGACTGAACGATAACAGGATGTCAAACAGGACGAGCAACATGGGAATAAATCAGTAGCAGTAGTGATAGACACCAGAGCTTATAATGTCAAGCTGAGAATATAGTTTGGACTTTAATAACCAATTAACAACGAAACAGTAAAATAAGACCTATTTTACTGTTATTAAAAGCGTGCCCCCCCCCCTACATATTGTAACCAGCATATTAAGTGCAGGAATGAGTGCTATTTTGTTGTGTCACACACATTATATGGTGAACCATGGTTGCACACTGACCTAAACCGATTTATTTATGTGCTAAAGTGAATGAATTAGAAATACTAGAAAAATGAATTGAATATGTGTAAATCCTGTGTTTTTAAAAACACCTCATATCAAATCTCCAAAAGGCTGGCTGACCCTTTAAAAACATTGGGTCAGGAAAGGTCCTCCTGCCCCTTCTCAAGCCAACAGCGGAGGTGATGTTTCATCACCCAAAGTGGACTGTAGTCAGATCAATTAAGTTGCTCACGTTCCAAATTTTTATTTGTACACACGTGTTCCTGCTAAAGTCACTGCCGTGAACATGCTAAAATATATTTGATCCAACGTGATTATTCCACCAAGTGAAAGGACAGATACAAGCCAGATGGACGTTTAGGTTAGTTTAAATTGTAGTGGATCATATCAAGGCTGCACGAGGGGGTTTTGGGGAATGAATAGAGTTTGGTGTTGACATGTGAGTGGGTGAGTAGTCTTTGACACCAGAAAGTAACGTCAGTGGAACCATCAACGGAAAACAGACCTACTCTGGTACTAAATAACCTCACTGACTCACTGTTACACTGACACACTGACCCAAAGAACCAGTGTCTGCTAAAAAATAATCCTTCACTCCACTCGCAATCCCACAAATCCCCCAGGGCCGAGTTAAGGTGTCAGTCAGACTCTTCCCCCCGCAGTGACAGGAAAGCCTGGTAAGAACCTGCTCTCACTCCTTTCCCCTGCTTGTCCTCAGGTAAAAGGTCAAAAGAACAACCATCTACGGTGTAATCATGGAGATTAGTGTTGATTAGTTAGTGTCTGCAGCAATTGTTATTATAGCAATCTTGGCGTAACATGATGGAATTGGAATTGTATTGTGTTGACATGCAAATAGGTAAAAAATTCTCCAAAAGTGAGGTTGGTTCTGATTAGCGTCAGACTCGTTGATGTAATGCCCGAGCAGAGGACTGCTCAAGTATTAAAATGTGTGATCTAACAACCAAACTCAGCAAACTGGTGGAATACACAAATACATTCGAAGCAAGGCTTAGATATTTCCATGGCCGTCAGTTAATGCCGTCATTCAGATTAATGCTAATTTATCACTCCTTATCTACAGATACTGTATGTCTTCAACCTATTAGAGTTTATAGAAAACATACCGAGTTTAATCTGGAATGTGTTGACTACATTCTCGCTCCAACAGTTCAAATACCTTTTAAATTCACAGGATGATCACATTAAGTCAGACCTACTTACCGCTTATAGCTCATGTATTACATCAGAGTTGCCTTACAGAACCTTCTCTGGTGTCCTCAATGTGAACTCGAATAGAACTTGCTTTACTTCGGACTTGGTGGCCACTGTTAAAGAGGTCGTTTGATAGCAATGAATTCTATAATTGAATTAGGTTGTAAAAAGAAGAAAATATTATGGTACATGGTGCTACTGTGGTGGTGCTAGACTTCAGGAGACACTCCCACCCAAATGATCATCTCGGAAACTGTATATGGTTCTAAAAAATAGATTTATTTTTCTCATACTTTAACATCTAGAACTGATATATCCCCTAAGAATTCTAGTGATGTGATGTTTATTAGATTACTATTATGCTTATTATAGCCAACTGCCAGAAAAATGGCAGAATTTTTTTTTTTTAAATGGTACGCGACTAGTCTATAAAATAACCAGCTAGTTTAGAAAACTCAGTTCAGCATCAGTCCTTAACACCTGGTAGAAATATCCAATTAAATCAACACCTGCTTTACGGCCACATTTACATTGAAGAAATTCAAAAACCAACATTGTGATGAGACACAGTTCCGGCTCACGGTAACCTCTAACCCCTAACCCGATGATTATTCAAAATCTCACTTCCAATCCTCTGTTTGTGGCAAAAATATGTAATTACACGTGTGCTTGTTCTCTGGAAATAGTCTTCTGAATATCATATGTGATCGTAGAGAAGGAAGAGAAATTTGTTTGATCAACAAAGGAGAGCTTTTGACGTGACTATATCATACCAGTGCCCTGAGAAGTAGCTAAATATCTTTGCTCTCAAGGTCAGAGAATCACAAAACACAACTAGTGATGCATTAGTGTTTTCAAATGTTTGGAATCAAGACAATCAGAGTTGGAATCTAGGCTTTAAAGTAAATGTCCGTGCCTTTATCTCCTCAAGACTCGACTACTGTAATTCACTTTTAACTGGAATCACTGGCAAAAACATCCTGAAACTACAATACATCCAAAACAGCGCTGCCAGGATCCTGATGAGAGTCCGGAGATATGAGCACATAACACCCATCCTACACTCACTACACCGGCTCCCCGTCTCCTTCCGGATTGACCTACAAAATTCTACTAACTTGTGCTTGGCAGCGCCAAGTGGAACCGTCTCCCTGACCACAAGCTTTTACTTATTATTTACTTTTAACTGTGTTTTTCCATCTCTGTCGCACTCTGAGATCTGCTGATAAAGAGTGTGTTAGAAATAAAATGTGTTATTATTATTATTATATATTATGTGCAGGAACTTACCAAAACACCACTTTTGCCTTCTCAGAAAGAAGAACCACAATGTTGTGGTTTGGTAAAACAGTTACCGTTTTACCGGTAAACTGATTTATGGACTACTTCCCTCGATCAAAGGAACGAGAAGCCGTCTCCTTCCTGAAAAATGCAAGAATCCTTTGTAAGCCCTCAGCCTAAGGCAAGTTACAGTAGGCACCTGTGTGTCTCCGCATAAACACATCTAAACATACAGATTTCTACTAAGAGCAACATCACACACCTTACCTTTGGTGTTTGGAGCTAATGGTACTTAACTATGGCTTTTGAGTGCAAACTGACAGACAGTCGCATCTTCTAGATTGGCTCCTAAATGACGTGACGTAGATATATCACTACAAACAAGAACAACAGATTTATGCCCCAGCCGTACATGGTTAACCGTTGGATACTCAATGATATAAATGATGTATCTCAAGAACATAGCATGTGCCTGATGACTTTAACTAATGGACACATGGGGAAAATGTTGTACTCCTACTCCTGTAAACATTGGCTACTTACAATTTAAAAGTGTTGTTACAAATAATCCAATTAAGAAGAAAGAATTTACGGATGAACACTGTCTTTGCATGTTTCTCGGGTTTCTTAGTTGAGAGGCAAGACCTGGACCAATGCTTTGCCTTTTTTTTGCCACCTGTGACTTGGGTACCAGTAGAGGGAGCATTGCATAAGAGCTCCGAAAACAGCATCCAACGTTGTCTTGATTCAGTTTAAGGCATCGCAACAGTCAAAAGCAAGGAGAACATGTCGGTGTGGGTCAACAGTTGGTTCCCCTTTGGCTGAAGAATGTATGGCTGAATTGTACCGAGCACACTGGTCTGATTCTATGTGGAATTATAATATATAGATATATTATTATTATAAGTTTTTTGGAGTTTCCGTGGAGAGTTTTTTTGCAGCGTCCCTGCTGCTTCCCCAAAAGGTTTCCTAATCTGGCAGCCGTACTCACTGTGTGACCAAGTTTGTCCTGTTGTGTTTGGACACTGACGAATTACGGTAAGTGAACCAGCGATCAGCCCGACTGGGTACTTGTCGGTTAGTTGTACACTGCTGACGGTTCGGTGAAGATACTTCAACCTGCAATAACAGATTCCTTTGGCCACTTGGTGGCAGAGGAAACAAGTTGTCAACGCAGTTGTTATGGCAAAATTATTGGATTACAGCCGAGTTGTTTACACATCAATATTCACTTTCCTTCAAAAGCTATCAGCTAAACGTGTACTGTGTCAGCCATTAGACCCAGTTCAGAGCCACAAAAAAAAGAACTTGCGCCTTAGTTTCTCTTTAGGACCTTTTGTTTTTTAATAGTCAGTGAACAAACCTATTTTACAGAAAAAGGACTAAATACTTATTCAAAGGCCTACCATCTTTAATGTGGTTGCAAAATGTTTGGGATTCTTCAGATAAATGAAACCTTAAAAATAAGAGAGGGCCAAAGTCATTTCAGATAATTCCCACAGTGGCTTTAAAAAATCAGTAAAACTCTGAACTAGAAGTCTTCATGTTGTTTTGGCTTTCCCTGTTCTCAGGCCTGTGTTATGCTGCTCTCTAGTGGCTGTGACTCAAATTAGAAATCAATACTAATGAGAGATTGAATTTACAAGAACTATTTTTAGCATCATATTTTTACACTTTTACACTCTAACAATATGAAAATGTAGGCATTAACATGATATGTCTACTTAGAGCTGCATGCATTCTGGTAATATTGACAGAATGATTTTGAGGTAAATCAAAACACATGAATATGGCACACGCCATGTAGCAGATACATATAATGTGTTCTCTTACTCATTCTGTACGTCTGTCATAATTCTTTCTTTTTTTGTAAAATTTCTGAGACAGACAATGAAATGTATAATTAACTTCAAACACACTGTGGCCACATCTCTAATGTATTTTCTTGAACTGTGTCTTTCATTTATCACAGACTCATGCAAACGACAATAATACAAACGGTATAGTGCTCTTACTTAGCGCATATCTTGTTGTTTGGATGGTGTTGCAGTCTAGCGTACATAATCCATTCAAAGCAGTACAAAGGATTACGATGACTCGTGACTGGCCTGCATTAAAGAACGAACATCAGATAATGCTGAAAAACTCAAAGAACCCGCTTTATTTAAAGTCTACACTGCACAGTCTCAATTGCTATGTTGTTAATGTCTGTCCACAGATAGATATAGATTTCCTATTTTAATGAATACAATATTATTAAGAGCTGTTCTTATTAAATACTTTAGAGCTGCAGCAATCAATATTTATCAATTGACTAAGTGTAACATGGAAGAAGCGGCTCTGTTGACCAGATATTTAGAGGTGCAGAGTGACTGCTCTACAGACAGACACGGACCACAACTTCACTGTAATCTCATTTGCAGCTGCAGGAAGCAGCTGTTTGCAGCAAAAGAAACTGGCCGGCACTTCAAACAAATCAGCGCAAATCACACAGAAAATGTTTTCTGCATCTGCTGAACCTAGATGAGCTTTCAGATATATTGGTGGATAGTTGAGATTAAAATGAATATTGGATTCATACTTGTAAAGACAAAATCACAACTTTAAATGTTAAATGTTTTACGGCTGCTGGATGAGTGAATATCCCCAAGTGGACTAAGTAGTCAATGAGTGCACCTTCAAGGCCGAATCTCCATGTCCGACACAATCCACAATCCAATCTATATTTACGCCCACTGGATTCGCTGCCTCAGCTTTAATCTCCTCCCATTGATAATCTGGAGTGAAGCCTGTGTTGGATTCTCTCTGCTGGCAGATGAAGCATATGGCTGCAGCATCTGTGGGCCGATTTACGGCCAAGATCTCCCTGCTAGGCTGCTACGCAGCTGGGCTTAAGCACATATCTCTCACTGACAGAACCTGATTGAACCCCTCTCCATGTGTTCTCGATGGACTCCTGCCTTTGTTCAGGTCAAAAACTTGACACATTGAATCCGCTTCGACTGTTACTTTGAAGTAAGAGTGCTTCATATTGATAGATGTGTGATGTTGAATGAAACTATAGACTCTACATTCAAAGTCACCTCAACATCCCCCGTTAGCTTGTGTATTGCAGTGGTAAAGCTGTGAGTTGGCCATTTTCGGCCGCGGTTAAGAGAGCCATTTTTATGTGACCGAAATTACAAAAGCCTAAAATGCATAATAATGATATTGATGCAACAATACTACTTGGCCTCTATGTCAAATAGTTTACCATCATTCATTCATTCAGCACACACAGAACAACAGTTCATTCATTCTAGTTCAGGTGTTAGAACTACATTTTGAAACTCTTATGCAAGACGTGCTTTCGTTGATGTTTTAATTCATTGTAGCATATCCTCTTAAATAATATAATACATTTGGATACAACCAAATACCTAACCCTGAAAACATTAGGACACCGTATCCCTGAATCCAGGGCTGACTCGACCAACTCAACCAACAAGTAAGTGACCAGTGGCCCCTCAGTTGTTCAATATTGCATTGTAAAATGCTAATGTGCAAGGCTTAATGTGTTCTTTTTACTGCTCTACGTTTCAATGACACCTCAGTTCTTTGCGATTCAGTTTAATAATGCAAAGACATGAAAATATAATCAACAAATGAATGTTAATGTATTGTTGGGTAGGATAAGACTTGGAGGGTAATTTCCAAGCCGTAATAAGCCATTAAAAGGAGCTTTGTACTTACCAGTTTACCTGCCTTTAACATTTAAGTACCCAGGAATGGGACATGAAATCATGACAAAATAATAGAATGGATATTCTTCTGAAAGAGCCGTGTTTATACTTATGATCCCCAAACATATATTTCTACACTTTGGTGATGCTGTTGTGTTTTTTGCTGCCACTTGTTCCAGTTGTGGTGCTCCTGGAACTCCACTCCAGGTTTTGTTCTTTTTTTTTTTCTTTTTACTGGGAAAGCTCTGCGGCATCCCCACACGTAGCCACACACACACACACACACACACACACACACACACACACACACACACACACACACACACACACAGACACACACACACACACACACACACACACACACACACACACACACACACACACACACACGAAGTTACACTATTAAAGTAAACAAAAACATGTACAGATAGATTACCCTAATACACATAAAGCAGCGCACGTTAAACTCTTACATTGCACGCGTGCTGCAATGTATTTATTTAACTAGAATGCTACAATTTTTTACCGTCATTTATTCTGAAAGAAAAAGCGCGAGGGATTGAATGTGCACGAGCCTGGCTGGATAATCTGCAGTGCATGTTAATTTGGAGGGTGAAAACTGAGGCAGCGTGGTCCTTTTTTTTTTTAAGAAAAACAAAAAGTGAACTTCCTGTTTCGGGGTGGTCCACGGTCTGTGGAGAAAAGGAGGGAGGAGGAGGAGGAGGAGAAGAAGGAGAGGGGGGGGGGGCGGGGGTGCACGCATTCCCGCATTGGCTGTGTGCAACCAACTCCGGGGGCTTCGAGGGACTCCACGGTCCGGACATGGGGCTCATTTTTCTGTCACCGTTCGCGTAAGCGGGACTCCGGCTGGTGAAAAAGCGATGGAAACGCGCCGTTGAAGCGGGATAAAGTTGCGTTCTCCTTTTGCTCTCCATCCGAGTGCGTCTCGCCAGAAAGTCGGAAGGGAAGAAGAAGGAGAAGGAGAAGGAGAAGGGGGAAGGAGGCTTTACTGCAAACGGTCGCAGTCCACTTTTTGGAACCCCCGAGCTCTTCCGAGGACTCCCGGGGTCCAAGAAGACCTCCACGCTGAATGTCCCTGCGTTGACCTGAGGTAAATATCGGCTGGCTCACATCCGCTTTGTCCAAAATCGTTGGCATCCATTGAAAAGTAACGCTGGATAATGAAGAGGTTTTTTTTACGTGGTCGGAACGCTGTGTTTGCTATTTTCCACCACTTTTTAGGATTGTTTTCGTCCTCTTTTCCACTAATTAGGCTGCTTTACGCTTCCTGTGCGCTGCTCAATTGAGTCATTAAGTTGCGTAATGTTTCGACTAACCGCCGGTTTTTCGGCGGTTCGATTCCTCCTCACCGCGATGAGGCGTTGGATGTATTTTCTGATGTGGAGAACATGCTACGCTCACACGTCAGAAACATGTTAACATGTCCTGCCTCGGTATGTTGATGTCTTTGGGGGAAGTGCCTATTTTGGTGGTCTGACTACAAGAAAAGTTTTTTTTAAAAACATAGAAGTAAAAAGAATCATCTGGCACAGCTTCAGGGTGGCCCGAACAGCTGGGCCCTGTAACATGAAATACTTGAGGTGCCAATTTCTTTTCCAAATGTGACTTTACGTCAAGACGCACGCAAAAACATCAGCATCACCGTGTGAGGCCTCGGGAGGCGGCAGGCTCCTGTGCATCTTGAATTAACGTGCTGGGGCCTTTTTTGTTGTTGTTTTTGTTCTATCCCGGGCTAAAATAAACATGCATTGAAGCCTCCCATATCCATCTCTAATCTGACCTCGATGATTTGAATGCAATCTAATTATCTGCGTAAGAGGTGACCGTAGCTGCTAATGTGGGAAGATTAGGCCGGCTTGGTCTTCATGCAGTGGCCCCGGACTGAAGAGCGTCAACACTGGACTCAATGGGACAGCCAAACACTTATTTATTCCAAAGTGACAGTGAGAAGTGCTGAGCACACAGACTCACATCCTCCCCAAACAGTATTTGCACAGACGCACTCTCGTACACATAGAGGGAGTGTATTTGTGAGCCACAAAGGGGTCTTTAGTAGATCTACATAAACAGGATAGCGAGACACAATGATTTATTTGGACGTTGTTACGTGAAGTTGTGGATTACGTGCTCGCTAATGTTTTTTTGTTTGTGTATGGTTTAAATTTGTTTTGCTGGTCAAAAGGGTTGTGATCTTCAGTATGTGGTGAACAGTAAAAAGAGAACGTAAGAACCTTTTTGTTTAGTTTGATCACAGAGAAAAAGAAAATATAAAATCGAGTGTGGGCTTTTTACAGAGGGGAACTCGGGCCTTTCTCAAGGTTGAAACAGGGGGACGGGGGGGGGGGGTAAAAGAAGGAAAGTGCACTTGTCCTTTGGCCACGTGTGAAAAGCTCTGCAGGGGAGCTTCCTCACCCTCCCTGGTCTTTATCGAGTGTGTTAAGGGCAAAAGGCTCCTTAATGGGACTGCCCTTAAACAAATAGACCATGCAGGAAGCGACTGTCCCCCTCACCCAGTCACAGGAGAGGACTGATGCGGTTTATCACCGCCGCATCAGAGCGCTGATAAGTCTCTATCGGCCTGAATACAATTGGACTTGGTGGGACAAATTCCTTGTCTCATTAGGACAGAATAAACAAAGGTAGGCGGGGAATCACTTAAAGGGGGGGGGGGCAGTTCTACTCTTACCCGTAGCGCTATGTCTCTATTGGTATTATTTTTGCCGTGAGTTGCCTAGTTTACCAAGTGAGTGCCGAAGTCTCTAAAACCCCCGTGAGCTTGAGCGATGACAGTGGTCTGGAAATGAAAGCATCTGAGGACGGATCCCCCCCGTAGATCTCGCAGTCGCGTGACACATCGGTACCCGGAGAGAGGCAGGCGGCAACAAGTGGCGTGTTATTAAAAACATTTTTTTTTAAAATCCAGATTCCATTTTGGTCCGCTCAGCAAGAAACATGCGTCACGTGAGGCCTGTAACACCCCCCCCCCCCCCCCCCCAATACCCTCCCACCTTTCAGTCAAAAGGAAGTGAGGGAGGAGGGGATAACCAGAGAGAGAGAGAGAGCGGGGTAAAAAGACCACCCTCACTGGGATCACAGCCCCTCAATCAGGGCCTTTCACACCCTGTGAACCTGAAACAATCAGGGTTTAATAGCAGCTGTCTGTCTGTGCCGGCCCTGGGTAACACCGTGTAGGCTCACAGCGCCGAGCCCGTCGGCTTTAGAACACAAGCAGACAGGCCCTGGGGGATGCTCCCAAGGACACATGAGCAAAGAGGACACACACACACACACTCACACACCAACACCTTTTTCTCCGTCTTCATCCCCTGCTACTCTTTTCTCTCCCCCATCCTCGAGTTTGGAGACGGTGCGCTCGCTCACATCGCCGGCGTCGGCGCCTGGTGTTTTTGAAGGTTATTTTGTTCATTGAGACCGGAGTGAATTGTTTTTTTTCGGGTTGCCGCGGTTACCGCCGGACGGCAGCAATCTGAAAGTCGCTCTTCCTGGAAATGTATCATTGAACACACGTGAGTGACACAAGAGGGCAAAGGCATTAGACACTTTAGAAAGCTTGACGCGTTAGTCAATGGCCGCACATATTAGAAAGGGGCGATGTCGCAGTCCCGCGAAATACTCTTGAGAGTCATTGTTCGTGGTCTCTTAGAGCTTTCCCACTAATTTCAGGGCGTATCAGACAAATTGATCTCCAGAGATAATCAATTGAAAGCAATAGAGGGATGTCAGAGGCTGTATTAGATGTCACTATTTCGGAGGACGAATCAGTTTAGACTGCACTTACGACTGGACGCACACGGTGATATTGGTTGTTGTGGCGAAGCAGCATCCAATAACTTTCCACTATTTTCTAGCATTTTACAGAGAAAACAATTAATCAAGTCGTCAAAAAACAAAACGACAGATTCATCAGTAATACTAATGACTCCATCCATCACCAACACCTCAACCGTAACCACGTATGTTTATACTGACTTGTATACATTTTAATGTAATGCTGGCCAAATTATATTTCATATCAACATAGAAATACTGAAAGTATAAGCAAATTGCTCACTGAATTATTTCATCTGTTTACTCTTGCAGACAAACATCTTACTGAAAAAACCCCCGAGCTAGAGTGACTTGAAGCAAAGTTTTTGTTGCCTTAAGCTTCGGTCTCAAACCCAAATCTCCTCATTTTCCTGCTCGCTACATAAAGAGATCACTACTTCCTGTTTTGCCCCCAAACTTTGCCGATGGCTGAAATTCCTCCAACAAGTTGATGTCTCGATCCTCGGGCCGAGTAACCGTTCTGGTTCCTAATATAGAATAGTGTTCTAGAATAGTCCATCCTCTAATGCCTTGAGACTAGACATGAAATGTTAAGTCACATGTGGTACTGCAGGCAGCATTAAGACAGCATTGTGTGTGTGTGTGTGTGTGTGTGTGTGTGTGTGTGAGAGATACAGATTTAACCATCAATGCTGACTGCAAAAGGCGGAGCCGTTTTTCCCATCGAACCTCCTCCTCTGAATGAGGGTGGCGTTTTTTTTTTTTTTTAAACGTGCGTGTGTGCGCATGTTTGTCAAAGCAGCTCGGCATGTTGACTGTTAACTATCATCTCATGTGGTTGATATTAGAAATCAAACTGGAGCTAATCGGATCCAGGTGAGATTGTGAATTGCTCTCACATGCACCCACCAACCCACAGTGGCCCTCACTCATTTCCTCGCTGTTACGTTTAGCTCGGTTTGCAACAATGGGCTTGTGGTCGGGTTCTTTTTTCTTTTGAGAGCTGGTGGTCGTCTCAGGATGAAAAAGGTGAAACATTGGCGGCATCTGTGGAGCAGGCAGAGGGAAAAAAAAGATCCTGTGATTTCTTTCTTTCAGTTATTTCATAAAAAACCAATCGAACTGCTGCAGGATAAATTAATAGCTGGGGGAGTTTCTTGTTTGCAGATGTGCGTTTGGGCTGTTAAGATTTTGTACACGTGTGTGTGTGCGTGTCCTTGTACACGTGTGCCTTTTCAATGTGTGTGTTCTTGGCCGCTGATGACTCAACGCCGCGCCGTCCTAAATGCGAAGAGGGGGCGGTGTTTGTTATTTCACCAGGTTGCCATGGCCACAGTGCGTTCGGGTGCTGCCATTGTCAAAGTATTTACAACACATGAGTCTTACGCACCCGACCTCCTCACTGCCTGACGTCCAGCAATGAGACGCGTGTCTTCTGCAGAGTTTTGATGGGATTTGAGCCCTTTTTTTTTTTTCAGTTCAAAACTAAATTGGGGCGAAACACCACTGCGGATTAAAAGGCTTTGTCATTTCTTTCTTCCCTCGCTGACAAACCTGCAATCCGGCATTTAATCTTTAGGTGGAGACGGGTAGATTGCTCCTCCTTGTCCGTTTCTCTGTAACACTTCATTTTCCCAGCCGTTTTATGTGATAAGCTATTACATTTTACTGGTGGAATAATTCAATTCCATGAAGCGAGCCAGGGAGAGAACAGGAAGTGGGAGCATGTCCATGTTGCGTGTGTTTGTTAGGACTCTTCTGAACAACAACAACTCTCTTATCTGAGATGAGATCATTTTAGAAGATTGTTGGCTCGATAGATTTTCTCGGGCAACACTCCACACACGTCACCCATGCAGTGGTATGCAGCACGTCCAGGTGTCAGATGTGCACACAGATGCAACTGCACATGGGGGGCCAACGGCTTCTCGATCTTTCATTGAGTAATTATTTGAGTGCTTCAGCGCTAATTAGCATTTCCAATCAGCCCATACGGTACTGGAGTTTGAGTACTTGACAAGCACAGTTACTCATCTCTAGAAAACATGTAGAGCTTAGCATGGTCAAAATATGCTTTGAATTAGTTATTTAAGGTCAGGAAAGAAAAGGTAAACAAGACAAGGAATTTGTCCATGCATTGAATTCAAACTTTTCCTCAATACTATGTCGATGTTGAGGATCTTTCAGTCAAGTTTTGATACTAGAGGATGCTGTGCTCTTGCAAATTATAAATCTAGCATTGTCCAAGATTGAGGGCGCATATTCTCCTGCTCTGTGTAAAAAGCTATTTTAGATTTTAAA